CACACACACACACACACACACACACACACACACACACACACACACACGAACGCACAGAGCACCCAACACGGAGAACTCCCCTCAGCATCCTTCAGTCATACTTCCTTACATATTTGGATGAAACTTCTTGTGCCCTTTTAACCACCATGCAGATGTAGGGAGTTAGGGTTGAACACTACAATTTCACTTAGCAATCTCCCACAGACTGTTTCATTGGGTGTCACAAGAGCTCTAATGAGAAGGTAACACTATGCCCACATTACAGTTGTCAAAAGGAATACAGTGAATGTTACATGACTTGTCCGAGGTCACAAGGACCAGTAGACTCTGGGTTCAGTAGATAACAGAGCTTTCTATGGTTCTGTGCTGTTAGCTCCTCTTTGTTGCTTGCATGTGTTCTTTTAGGCGGCTGCTCTATAAGATAAAAACTGAAGTCCTGAATGAGGCCTGGGCCTGGGGATCCCCAGAGCCCAAGATCTTGGGTTGACAGATGTGGAGGAGGAAGAAATAGTCCCCAGAGCACAGGGGACAGCTAGGGCTGGATACTTCAGGGACAGGGCTTGCAGGGAGGAAAGTATCTGAGCCAAACGGCCTGCAAGGGGAGAGCCTGGCAACAGTTTGCCTCCTGCCTGCAGTTTCCGGCCCCCTCCACCATTCCTTTCTGCTCTGTGGTCCCTCAGATTTCTTCTGTGTTCCTCAACGCCTTACCCTTTGTGATTTGGATCCTTCATTCTGTTGACATCTTACTACTTGATTATCCTGACAATTGTCTGTTCTCTGCTTCCTCCATGTCTACCCCTGCCTTCTACATCTCTCCATCTTTGAGTGTGTTCCCCCACACCTGAATCTCTATAACAGTCTCCTCTTTTCAGGTTTCTTCCCAAGTCTTTCTTTCTCTCCCCTTGCATCTCTACCTCCTGCAAAGACTTAGCAACCTGGCCCCATCCTCCTCCTCTGTCTATCTGTCCCCTCTATGTCTCTCTCACCCAGTGACTACGTCTCCCCACTTCTCTTCTGTGTCTCAGCATCTCCTCTTGTCTCCATCATTTTCTTCTGCTTTTCCATATTTTCTCTCATCTCCCCCTGGCACTTTCTCCCAAGTCTCAGTCTCCCAATTTCTTGGATGGGTTGGAGGGCGGGAGGGTGGGGGAAGTAGGATTGTTGTTGCTGGGGGCTCATTAGGAGGAGATTGGTTTTTAATCAGCACCATGGCAATGATGATGCAAGAACCAAGCCGCCACCTGATCCCCTGCCCTCCCACCCCCTCCTCAGGCCTTCTTTCCCCTCCAGCTCAGCCCATCTGCTGGCGCCTGTTCACCTGTCTGGGCCTGCCCAGGTGGGAGTTGGCACCTCCCAGGCCTGGGGGTGGGGAGAGGAGGGTAAGCTTGGGGAGGAATTATAGGACTCCCTATAGGGAAGGCCGCACCCTGGAGGAAGCCCAGAAAAGGTTGAGAAGGCACAGTGAAGTGGCAAATCCTTTCCACAACCTGTGCTCCTACTACAGTCTTCACGTATCATAAGCATTATCTCACTTATCTCCATGGCAACCCTAACGGTTATAATTTACCCCATTTTAAAGACAAAAAAAAAGATATTGAGGCTCAAAGGTCAGTACTTATCCAAGGTCATACAGCTAACAAAGCCCCTTTCACTGTAGCTCGCCATGCCTGGACCCTTTCCAGCCATGTTTGTTTCTGATACCCTCTGACGCTCAATGAAGACATCTTGCAGCTGAATACATGGGAGAATTTCCATGCTGAAACCCAGCCCACTGTGTTTTCGTGCTTCCCTGAGCCCCAGAAACTTGATCCCCTCTCGGGCCACCCTGCAACACACCCACACAGACACAGACACACGCATATGCACAGGCACAGACCCTGGAGGCGGCTGAGCTAGTGATGTGAACGTAATCAGTGCTCATTTGCACGTAATTTTGTATCTACTTTTCTTGTTGCTCATTTGATGGCCTGCACACTCAGGCAGCCCAGACTGCCCCGCCGTCCTCTCCAATCTCTGCTCTGCCTGTCTTGGACACCCTCCTTTCTTTCCTGTTAGCTCTTTCTTACCTCTTTTCTCTCAAGCTCCAGATTCCCTGTGGATCAGCTTAGGCTGGCTAGCCTAGAAAAACTTGTGGGGTCTCCATCTAGAATATGACTCCACTCCTGGCCTGGCGATGGGGTAGGCAGGAAAATGGAAGTGTGGAAGAGAGAGACTATCGGGCTGCTTGAGTCCCAGAATGACCAGTGCTGGGACCCGAAGAGTGGTGAAAGGAAACCGGTTAAGCTGGGTGTACTACCTGCGTGAGAACTTACTTAGGTTCTCTTCCACATTTGAGTGCCTGTTACTCATTCTTTTCATAGTTTTGCTGTTGGTGCTCTGGAAAGCCTTCTTCCCGGGAAAAGGGAGCTATGGAGAAGGGATGGTCAAAGCCCCTCTGGGACTCAGGATGGAACTCTGACATTTAAACCCAGCTTCTTTGGAGTCTCTGTCCTGCTACCTCTAGTGTGGGAGACTGAGGGTGGTTCATCTGTGGTCCTGCCCTGGCTCTCGCCCCAGCCCCACCCCTTCCCCAGCTCTCTATTTCTTGCTTATGAAATATGCATGGAGAACAGATGTCCCTGCTCCCCCACTCCCCGCCCCCCTCAGGGCCAGCCCCCGCCCCCAGCTCCCAAGGGGTTCCCAGATCCCTCTGCCAATGGCTGCCTGGCCTGGCTGTTTAATATTGATGAGGGGGGTGTCAGGGCCAGCCAATAGAAAGCTGGGGGTGTGTGTGTGTGTATCTCCGTGTATATATACACATAAGGCTGGGCCACCTCAGGTGTGTGTATGTGTCTGTGAGTGTGTGTGTGTGTGTATGTGTGTGTGTGTGTGTATGTATGCATGCACGCGTGAGTGTGGGTGACTCCATTATTGGACTAAGACCACCTCTTCTGCCTAGACCTTACATCTACCCCTCTCGTCTGTCCTGGAGCCTGTTCGGCCACAACAAGCTGCCTCCAAGAGCTCTAGAAACTGGTCACTAACTTTGCAGACAGATGACCCTTGGGCAGCAAGAAGAGACTGGGGCTCTCTACGTTGTCCCCTCCGCTTGCCACCTGGGATCCCTTGGCAGAGTCCTTCTAGGTAAGGGGAAACCATGGGCTGGGGATGTGCAGGCCAACCCCTCCCCTCCTAATCTCTGGCTGAAGTCTCCTCCTAGAACCTTCCTCTAATGCTGGGTCTCCCTCCGTCTCTGCCCCACTCTCTTGCCTACTTCTCTTGGATGCTTTGCGCAACCTCTGTTAGCTGTAGTTGGAGGAAGTAGGGTGGGAACTCCTATCTCGGATTCTTGGAATTGTTGCTTTTCTGCTCCTCAGAGCCTGAGACTTTGAGACCAGACCTGGAGGAAAGACTTGATGTGAAAATAAAAGCTGCTGCCGGGAGTGGAGGTGGGGAAAAGGGAGGGGCAGGTGGAGATGGGTCGTGACAGATGGGGAGCAAGAGAGAGAAAGAGGGAGGACCCTAGAGAGTGATGGAGGATGCAGGAACATGGGGACTGGACAGAGAGGGAATCCAGTTGTGATAGATGTACTGGGAACCCTGAGCTTCTAGTCCACCTTGGGAGCGGGGAGTTAGGGACACTGAACGTGTATCAGGAAATGTTCCCCCACCACCCCACGCTATTACTGTCCTCTTCTCTTCCTTTAGCCCCTAGAATATGGAGAATGTTCATAATTTCAGCATTAATCAGCTCCTGTTTGCGTCAAGCTTGGTGTGTAGGTGTCCCTCCACCATCAGATGCTGGTGATCTTTCGTCCCCTTCAGAGCTTTGTAACTGCTCTGGTCTTCTGTGGGGTAGGGTGGGGCAAGCCAGGAGAAAGGGTGGCTCCTGGGAGAGTGTCTGTCAGCTGTCAGCTGGAGAGCCAGGGCTGGGGATGAAGGGCATACGGCTGGGAAGAAGCCTCAGTTTCTGCTTCTATCAAGGCTGAGCTCACTGGGGAGGATGCAGTGATTCTGAGACCATCAAACTTAGTTGAGCTCTAAAAGTCAGCCTATGCCCTCCTGAGAAGAAATATCTTTTTTTTATTCTAATGGACAGGTTCTTTGGTTCTCTGGCCTACAGTGGTGATGCTGAAGAAGCTGAGCGATTCTGAGGGACTGAACTAAGATACCTGTGCCAAGCTCCATACATCCTAGTCCACTCAACAATGGCCATCTCTGTGTTCTCCCCTCTCCCCCAGCAAGAAACAAGCGTGCAGAAAGTCCCAAAGCCAAGGCTTGTAGTTCTCCCCTCATTCCCTTGGGGTTGCCCTTCCCCTTATTTATTATTATGCAAAAACCCCTCATGTAACAAAATTTGCCATCGCAACCAATAAGGGGAGAGCCTGAGAGCATTAAGCATATTCTCATTATGAGAAGCTGATCTCCAGAACTTTTTCCTCTTGTGAATGTGAAATTCTACACTCCTTAAGGAATAGCCAGCTCCCCTTCGCCTCCCCCTCCAGCCCCTGGCAACCATCATTCCACTTTCTGTTTTAAAGAGTTAGGCTAATGTTAGAAACTTAAATGAATGGAGTCATAGCACTTGTCTTTTTTCGACTGTTTAGTTCACCTAGTATAAGGTTCTTGAGGTTTAATCTATGTTGCAGTGTGACAGGAGTCCCTCCCCATGCCAGGCTCACAGTCTGTTATCACGAATATATCATATTTACATTCTATTTGCTCATTCCTCCACTGGTGAATATTTGAGTTGCTTTTGCCACTGCTATGAACATTGGTGTGCCAATGTCACACGTGTGCTGGAACATACTGTATTTCCAGTGTCAGTTTTTTGAGGCCAGCCGGGCTGTTTCCCATAGCAGTGCTACTACTTTATAATCCTACAAACAAGGGTTCTTTTTCTTCACATTCCTGCTAACATAGGTTTAGTTGTTTTAAGTGTTTAATTTTTTTTTTTTAATACACTGTCTCTGGTAGATGTGAGGTGATGTTTCACTGTAGTTTCAATTTGCATGTTTAGTATCAGCGATGTGCCATATTTTTTCATATGTATGCTGGCTATTTGTGCATTATCTTTGGAGAAATATCTCTTCAAGTCTTTTCCCATTTTAAAATTAGGTTGTTCATTTTTTCGGTAGTTTTGGACTATCCTTTTTCGAGATTGAGTATCACTGTGTATCCAGGATAGTCTCAAATTCATAATCCTCCTGCCTCAGTCTTCTGAGCAGTGGGGTTACACAAGCATATGTTGCCACACCTAGCTAAGAACCTCTTCATATGCCTAGCATATTATTCTGTTCTCAGATATATGGTTTAATTTTTACGGTGCTAATTGTTCTCTTTTGTGCACTACAGTTTGATGTAACTTTTTTTTTTTTTTTTTTTTTTTTTTTTGCTTATGCTTCTGTTCTCATATTCCCACTGCCAAGGACTTCCCCTCTGTTTTCTTCTAGGAATTCTGCAGTTTTAGGTCTTTGGTCCTCTTGTGCAGCCTTAGTTTGCCTGCTCGGTCTTTCCTAGCGCTTTCTTTTTCCCCTCTTTTAACTCCCACAGCTTTCCACCTGCAGGTAGCTCTCTCTAGCCTTGGACAGCCCTCCTCGCCAATTTTCAGTTCTCCTTTACCAGGATTCCCACCTCATTTCCCCCAGCTCTGAGCTGTCCACCCCTTCAGCTGTCAATTCTCAGTTCTCCCTTTCTCTGTTTCAGGCTGCAGGCTGGAATCTTGACCATGGAACCCTGAAGTGACTCTGCTTTCCAGAGCTCAGTGGCAGACCGTAGCACTCCCAAGCCCTTCCTGCCTCTCTCACAGCCCAGCTTTCAAGCTCCTAGAGGGAGGGGATTCAGATTTCACTAGGCAGGGGGTTTGCATCATGATGCTCAACTCCGACACCATGGAGCTGGACCTGCCTCCCACCCACTCGGAGACCGAGTCGGGCTTTAGTGACAGTGGGGGCGGCCTGGGCCCGGATGGTGCTGGGTCGGGGGATCCCGGAGTGGGACAGGTCCGGAGCTCGGAGCTTGGAGAGTCCGGCCGCAAAGACCTGCAGCACCTGAGCCGTGAGGAGCGCAGGCGCCGGCGCCGCGCCACGGCCAAGTACCGCACCGCACATGCCACGCGGGAGCGCATCCGAGTGGAAGCCTTCAACCTGGCCTTCGCCGAGCTGCGCAAGCTACTGCCCACTCTACCCCCGGACAAGAAGCTCTCCAAGATTGAGATCCTCCGTCTGGCCATCTGCTATATCTCCTATCTGAACCACGTGCTGGACGTCTGAAACTCAGCCCGCTTCCCGCCCTGGATTCTCCCCTTCTCTGTCACCATGCATTACTTAGAATGGCTGGCTCCTTCCCACCCCAGAGGACCCGGCTCACACCGCTAGTCCTGAAGGCCATTTTGTTTTCACTGGCCCAGGCATGTGAGGGATGTTCTCATGGGTTCTTTCAGAGAGTTGTTCGGGGCCTAGCTGATCAGAGTTGCTTGCTAGAATGGTTGGAATGGAGTCCTTTTGGGCGTTTTACTAAACCTAGCCTCTACTCAGCTGCTGCCTTTTCTGCCCTATGTCCAAGTTTTCAGAGACCCCGACCCTGATTCTCTCTCTTTTGGCAATGGTGGGGCTCAGCCTTAGAATATAAGGGAAATGTCTCCTGGCAGAGTGGGGAATGGGTTCCTAACTTCCAGACTTGTCTGTCCATGCCCAGGGGAGGGATAGGTTCTTGGAACACAGAGAGAAGAGTGAGGCGACTCCTGGGTAGCCAGGGACTGTAGAAAAACTCTGCCTTTCTTTTGTCTATCTTGTTCCTGAGGCTTAGCACACACAGACCTCAGATGTAACTTGGTAGTGAGTGCCTTTTTGGAGCTATCTGGCTGTCCCTTCCCACTTCTGCCATCCCAGCTTTCTCCCTCTCCCTGTGCCAGCCAGAAATAGGAAAACCTCAGTCCTGGGTTAAGGACGACATCTCCAAACAGCCCAGGGCACCTTGCAGAAGGCTCAGGACCTGGGTGGGGCAGTTCAGCAGCTGCTGCTTCCACCCCAGTGGACCCAGCAAACATGCAAACCCCATCAGCTCCTCCCTCAGATGAGAGGGGATGCCTGCTACCGCCCCCTGTGAGTGCTCTAGGGCCTTCTTATTACATTTCCCCCCTTCCATTCTTAAACTGCATGGAAAGGAAGGTGCCCCACCCGTACTACTAAGCCCCGCCTGAGCACCGGAGTCAATGGGCCTTAGAATCCCGTTAGAAGAAATGAACTCCCTGCTTTTCTCTGCTCCATTCACCCTCACACCAAACTCCTAACTCTACAAGGATATTTATGTATTTATTTATTTATTCATTTATTTATTTATAAATATTACTATTTATTACCAAGTTATGCACTTTGGGGTAGGGCCGAGGGGGCCCTCCCTGCTTGGATCCTTTTGCTTTTCCCTGGTTACTTCTTTCCTTGTATTGTTCCTTCCCCAATGCACGTATGTGTGGGATCCCTTCACCCACCATATCAGTACCCCTTCCTCAGCTCCTCCTGTTCCCACTGCTTCCCCCTGGAACAGTGCCCCCCTCCAGCCTCCTAGCTTCTCAACCTCTCCCCCTGCCCCCTTGACAATCCCACTGCAGTCCTTTCTACTCCATTCCTCTTACCAGCCCTGCTTTTCCCACCAAGAAAAAAAATACCACCAAGAACAGACCTCAGGATCTGTGCCTGGTGTCCCGTGTGTAAGTCTCTTTCTGGTTGCATTCCTAACTTCTTACGAAAAGAAAAATTAAAGTGACCTCCATCTAGTACCAGATACGGCTGTGGCTCCTTTGTATTGAGAAGCTGGCCTGAAGGTTATATAGGGTGGATATTGAGGGCCCTAGACATTGAAGCTTCTTCAGAGTGTCTGTGTCATCAGGGATTCACGTGGTAGATAAATGAAGGCAGAGAAGATATGCTACAGAGAGAAGAGGGCATACATTCACCTTAGCATTCACTGAGTGGTGCTTTCTGTTTTTCAGATCCTCCTCCCCGTGGTCTTGAAAGAAGGCAGCTGAGTGTCCCAATAGAACCCAAGTTAAACCTGCTTCTGCGGGTCCATGCTGCTGGAGAAAGCCATGACATAAAATTGAGGCATTGCCTTTTCTCTTATCATGTCCAGGCTAGGTCAAAATTATCCGAAACAGCAACTCCTGGGCCATTGTGTGTTCCTCAGCTTTAGACTCAGGAAGAAGCATCATATTGAGAGAATGAGAAAGGGGTGTGCGTGCGCGGGCATGCGCGAGCGCTGGGTGGCTGGGCTTGTAAGGCTGAGTCAGGCAGTCACAGATTCAAGTGTAGCTTCTAATCTAGTCCAAGATCCTGCCCTAAAGCACTGAAGGATGATGAGCGGGCACCAGAGGGATTCTAGAAAAGCCCCTAAAATCGTTTTTATAAAGATTTTTAGGCCTAGAGAGCACCTCACCCAAGGTCACACAACTAAGACTTGGAGTCAGGTATAGCTTCTTCGTGTGGGGTGAGTGGGTGGACTGAAGACAGGCTCTCATGTAGCTCAGGCTGGCCTTAAACTTGACAGATGGCTAAGAGCGATTCCACCTGTTAATCTCCCAAGCACTGGAATCACAGGTGTTTACTGCTGTATCTGGCCTCCCTAAAATAACCCAGCCTGCCAGAGCACTAATAAAACAGGGAGAACCATTGCATGGCTAAGAAGGCAAAGGTCTGGAAATCACTCTACAAGGAAAATATTTGGGGCTTTTGTTTTATTTTTGGTTTGGTGCTGGGGATGGGAACAGAGACCTCACACACTAGGCAAATGCTCTATTACTGGGTGAGGATGTCTGTCTTGATAAGGGTATATTTAGGGACTAGAGTATGTAGGTATGTATATATACACATATATATATATATTATCTATATTTTATATTTATAGTATATATTAAGGGCAGTTTGGTTGGTAAAGTACATACGTAGCATGCACAAAAACTTGGGTTTGATCCCTGGAATTGCATAAAAGGGGCACTCTAAGGTGGAGGCAGTTAAATTAAAGTTATTCTCAGCTACAGTTGAGGCCACCCTGGGATACGTGAGATTCCACCTCGAAAACAAAGCAAGCAAAGAGTAGATTTAGAGGCCAAGCCATGCTCATCTTCAAATACTAAGTGAAAGAACAAAAAATGGACTTACTAAGTGGCTCCAGAAGTTAGAATCACAGCCACTGAGCAGAGGCTGTAAGATACAATAGATTTTAACTCCAAGAAAAACCTTCATGGTTTTTTTAGTACCTGGAACTGTTCAGCCTCAGAATCACCTGTCCCAACAAAAAGGAATTCAAGCAGAGGGGCTGGAGAATCTAGTCTATATAGAGACACTTGGAGCACATACATTCCTACCTGAGGTAGAACTCTGGCTGGAGACCCCGGAAGAGCGTCTCCTAACATAAGGCCATGTAAAATGGCTGAAGGTAAAAGCAGTGGCAAGAAAGTGCCGAGACATTCTTCAGTACTTGAAGGATGACTATAGAATGCCATTAGCAAGAGGGGCTTGAAATAGAGTTAGAAAGAAACTCCTAAGATTTGATGTCTTCTCTCCTGCATGTGAGTTAAATGAAATATACTATGACCAGAGCTTGGCAAGAGAGTGGGCTGAACTGAGGCCAGGAAAATCTGAGAACTACAAGAGACCCGTGTCAGAAGGACCCTGGAAGATTACTGAGTCTAGCTCTCCTTTCCCTCTCTCCTTATAGCTCTTCCTCCCCGCATTCCTTTTTAAATTTATAAAAAATTTGAGACCAAGTATCACTATGTAGCTGAGACTGGCCTCTGACTCACCATCCTTCTGCCTCAGTCTCTCCAGTGCTAGAATTACAAGGGTACATCACTGTGTATAAATAACACCTTTAATTATCTATCTATCTATCTATCTATCTATCTATCTATCTATATCTATCTATCTATATTTTGAGACAAAGTCACATTAAATAGCCCAGGCTGGCCTTTCACTTGTCATCTACCTGTTTCTGCCTCCAGAAAACTTGGATTATAGGTGTGTGTCACTGTGCCTGGTGACAAACTTTGTTTCAAAGCCAGATGCCTAGCTAGAAAGGTGATGTAACTCACTATGATGACCGACTAGAATTATAACCCAAGTCCCAGGGTCGGTGTATGATTCTAAGTGAGAGCCCTATGCCTCTGGGCTCGGGGACCACCTCTGTCCCTCCCAGGCTGGAAAGCAGAAGCATTAGGAGCCCCTCCTCTCCTGGGTCCCTCAGGGCCTGAGGGTGGTGAGCTGCAGCTGTTCTGTTGCTAACTCCAAATTTCTTCAGATAATCAATTGGCCTCGGCTGCCGCTCTGCTCCGCGTGGCAGGACAAGGAAGGAGGCAGAAAGTGAGAGGGGGAAGGGCACAGGAGACAGGGAGGGGGAGGGGAGACAAAGTGGAGCGCTGAGGGAGATGGCAGTCCCTGGGCTGAGGAAAGCTACGGAGCTAATAGGCTGGGAGAGAGGAAAGGGACAGAACACCACAGTTCATTTCACACAGCTCTAAAGCAGGGCATGGTGGACTCATGCCTGGATTCCCAGCACTAGGCAGGCACAGCACGAGGATGTCTCCATGTTCAAGGCCAGACTTGGTTATATAGAGAGTTCTGGGCCAACCAGGTTACATAGCAAGACTCTATCTCAAAAAACAAAAAAAGAAATTAAATGAAACGACAAGATGAAAACTGAAAAACAAAAGCCAAACCCGGAGCCAGCAGGGTGTGAGTGAGGGGGGATGTAGGTTAAATTGGGGACCCAGGTGAGTGACAATCTGACAAGGCATCTCTTCTTCCCTCTTTGAGCATCCATGTACACCATGGCCTCTTTCATGCTCATGCCATGGCGACCACAGGCTCCTTATAGTCCCGTCTTATAGATCTTCTTATAGTCCCGTCTGCTATAATAATTGCTCCCCTGCATTCTATCTCAGAAAACCTTAACTTAAGGATCCCAGAAGGCAAGCCTCCAGCTTCAGAATGGATCTCTAAGCCAGTCCTCCCTATACACACACACACAAACACACACAGTATAGTAAACTGGTAGACATATGGTGCCTTTGTGCCCACACAATGGGGGCCCTGTTTGTGCCCCTTTACAGCCTGGGCAAAGAATACGGGTGCTTCTCTCTAAATCAGCTCACCCACACCTTCCTTCTCCATATCCTATACTTGCTTTCCTTGCCTCCTTTTCTTCCTCTTCCTGGGAGGACGAATCCTTTATCTTTCTGCTTCTTTCCAGTGACTTTTCCTACGCTCTTAAATTTGACCAGGTGTGAAAGGCGAGCTCACAAGAAAGTTGACACCACAGGTCAAGAGAAGAAGAACACAGAAACCCATTGGTCTTGAGACTGGGAGGTATGGAGTACGGGAGAAGCAGGCCCAGGTGGCGGCAGCAGCATTGTGCTAAAGGGAGAGAAGCCCAGCCCACACCTTGCAGCCAGAGGACTGGTAGCGACCCAGTTTCCTTCCCTCCCTGTCATTCCCTCCATCGCTCCCTTCCTCTCTTCCTTCTCCTCCTCTTCTTCCTCTTCCTAGTAGTACTGAGACAGAGCCTCTCACTCTTGAGCTCAGGCAGTCTTTGAACTTGCAGCAATCCTTCTGCCTCAGCCTTCCGAATGCTGGGATTACAGGCGTGGGCCACCCCACCTGGCTCATCTTTACTCTTTATACAATAAGCTAAGTGCCTGCTCTGCTGTCAACTTCTTCATCTGTAAAGTGGGAAGATAATTAAGATCTGTTAGAGTTCTGGGAGGATTCAAAGTTATTTGCATGAAAGTGCTCCTCATGCCTGGCAATGGTGGTGCTGGTCTTTCATCCCAGAACTCAGGAGGCAGAGGCAGCCAGATCTCTGAGTTTGAGGCCAGCAGAGAGAGAGAGAGAGAGAGAGAGAGAGAGAGAGAGAGAGAGAGAATGCTCCATACAATACAT